TATGGCTGGTACCTTTCTTTGATTGATTTTAGCTCCTTTTCCAGAAGCCTGCTTGGGTATACCGAGCCCGATGGGGCACCAAGTTGGTCGTCCTCGACCCTGATTTTTGACTAGTATCGGTTGTGAACGTCCGACCAGGTCACGGCGGGATATTCAATCAGATTCTGCTTTAGCTGCTTCGGAGCTACCGCACTTCGTTCATTCAGACCTTGAGCGAAGGCCTGCACTGCCCAATCGTCGGAGACTGGTGGTAGTTCCATCCGTTCCATTTGAAAGCGAGATACGAACTCTCGTAGTATTTCATTCTCCCTTTGCTTGATCTTGAAGACGTTGGATTTCCTTGTTGCTACTTTGATGGCACCAGCATGTGCCTTAATGAAAGAATCTGCTAGCATGGCAAATGAATCTATTGAGTTTGGAGCCAGGTTGTGATACCACATCATTGCCATTCGAACTTCTTCAGCAGGACGAATTCGATCTCATCATCCCTCAGGTCGTTGCCTTTTACCGCACAAGTGTAAGGAGTAACGTGCTCATTGGGGTCCGAGGTTCCATTTTACTTCGGGAGGTCTGGCATTTTGAACTTCTTTGGAATGGGTTTCGGAGCCGCTTCTTGTGGGAACGGCTTTTGCATGAACTTCTTTGAATCCATACCTTTTAGGATCGGGGGTGCTCCCGGAATCTGGTCGACCCTGGAATTGTAGGTCTCGACTTTTTTATCGTTGGCCTCTATCTTCTTCTCGCCCGATTCGATCCTCCTAGTGAGGTCCCCGAGCATCTTTAATCCCTCCGTACAACTCATGAATTAAGAATTCTCACAACAACAAGGTCTACTCGACACGAATTTTGCGTTAATGAAACTTTTCACAGGAATCTTTCACAAAATTTCCAACTAATACTAATATTATCAACTAATCAGAATGTTTGATTATTAGACCATGGTATTTGATTTGCCAAATACATCATTATTGTATACTCTTTCATATATATAGCGCAACCCAATTTTTATTTTTTACTTTTTTTTTTTTTTTGAAATGGAAATACCTAACTAACCTAAATAATAAGAACTTCCCCCTTGACAGTGGTATATGTTGTATATGTAAATCCTAGATGTGAAAATATACGGAATTCCTCTATGAATCTATGAAAGGCGCCGACCTGTTGTTGCTTCATCTCTCTGGTACCTGCTCGGCTGGGGAAGCCGTCCCCGGTGCTACCGTGCTAGGAGTCTTCTGGTGACTTTGCAGTTGAGTAATAGCCAGTTGTTGTGCCTGCAACATTTCAAAAATAACGTGAAGGCTAACCTCCCGTTCTTCCCTAGCTGGGGTTTTCTGGGCTTCTTGTTGGTCGCCTTGGTGCACGCTCCTGTTAGTGTGGGAGCTTATATCGACGTGTTAGGCATCGCGCGAGACCGCATCCACGGGAGTTTGCTCTGGCGCGTTCTCGGGGTTTCGTGGTGGTACACCAGCACCTGGAACATCCACACCATTTTCTCTGTGGTCCTCAAGATTGTTGTTTACTGAATCGGGGACATTTTGACCTGAAATCAAAGATCTTGGGCAAGAAAAAGTGTGAAAGATAACATGCATTTGTGTAGTGAAACTAGCAAGAAAATAATCAGTATTATTTTTAGCCCCACGGTGGGGGCCAAATTGTTTACCGTGAAAATGGTAATAACAATTAAATTTGATTATGTGGGGTTCTAAAAATACGTGATCTATTTTTATGCTAGTTGTTAAGCAGTTGATGCTATGTGAAAGATTTAGAAACGAGATTAGAGCTTGAGGACAAGGTGATAACCAAACTGAATGATGAATAGTCGAAGCCTCGAGCTAGCTTATTCGAGGCCTCGGGGTCGATCTGGATGCTCGGCTGGGAGCTACCGAGGGTAGTCGATGGGTGATTAACAATAATAATAAAATCAATGAAGGCTCTTTATGGCCAATAATAGGCAATAAATGAAGAACAATGGATAGAACACAATAAATGTAAACAATAAATGAAGTAATGAACTCGAGAGAATGTGTTAGAGAGCAAGAAGAATGTTCTTGTATATTGTAGTATGGAGCAACCAACCTCTAAAAAGTGACAAGGGTTCCCTTTTTATAGGATGGGGAATCCCAACATAGTACGAATGCATTAATTACAAAGATATGGGTATGTTACAGCCATTTAATGCCTTGATTTGCTTTTCCGACTAGCCCACTGGACTAGGCCAGCTGTATGTACGCGCCTTGGGCACTCCACCTTGATCCGCCGAGACCGCTAATTCACCTTGCCCCGGGGCCGGTCATCGCTTGTATCGGAGTTCGCCCATTGAGGAATTCTCGGGGGGTCGATTACTGTATAACCTCGGATGCCTGATGCTCGTGAAAGTCGAGCGTCGGATTTCTACATATATATATATATATATATATATATATATATATATATATATATATATATATATATATATATAAAGAGTAGGGAAAAAGAATGCTGACTTGGCACCTCTCTTTGGCCAAGAAAGCTAATTATCTTTATTCTCCTTTTTTTGACTTCTTTCCCTTTATTTCTCCACTAGTATACATACTCGCGCGATGCGCAGATAATTCTAAAGAAAAAGCAATGCATTGTAAGATGTGCGAATTAAAGTGAAGAACCTAAAAGCACTTCTTATTAAACAAT